ATTACATCAAGTGTTACAAATTACATAAACGATTTTTGTTGGAGCAGTGGGTGTCTTGCGGATCTTGCGGGAAATGGCAACATCAGATATGTGGTCTCTACAATCTACATAAAGACATTGACAAAAACGCAGACTACATTTGTCCCTACTGTTTGTTAGAGGAGCGTAAAAGTATCAACGAGATGGGATTCCATGACAATACGGATGTGGGGGCAAAAGATTTGCCTGAAACTATCCTCAGCCACTTTATAGAGCAAAGGCTATTCAGGCGCCTCAAAGAAGAAAGATGCCAAACCGCAAAGGCTACTGGGCAGAGCATCAATGATGTAAGATCATGTGGTTTCTGTAAATTTGAGATTTGAAACCCGGTATCCGTTTCTTTATAACTGAACTTGTTACTTTTTCTTTACAGGTATCAGAACCAAATGATCTTACCGTCAGAGTGGTGTTTTCGGCTGAAAAAAGCTCAGTAGTCAACAAACAATTTGTCAATTTGCTTCAGAAAGAACACTATCCTAGTGAATTCCCTTACAGATCGAAGGTGAGAATTCAGTATCACAATTGAATATTTTCCTTTTGATCCAGTTATGTATTTCAAAGCTTACTTAGTTGTAATTATTTTTGATGTTTCAGGTTATCCTTCTGTTTCAGAAAGTCGAAGGAGTTGATATATGTATCTTTGCGTTGTTTGTCCAAGAGTTTGGATCAGAATGTAGCGTACCAAACCAACGCAGCATATACGTCTTATATCTCGATTCAGTCAAGTACTTTAGACCCGAGAGAGTGACGTTTGCAGGAGAAGCTCTTCGTACTTTCGTTTATCATGAAATATTGGTAAACTATTTATTTCTGTTTCGTCCTGGTGCTTAAATACGAATTAAACGTAATTGGTATTGACATGTTTCGGTTTCTTTGTTCTTCTGATAGATTGGATACCTCGAGTACTGCAAGATTCGGGGTTTCACCGCAGGTTATATATGGGCGTGTCCTCCTCCAAAAGGAGAAGATTACATTATGTATTCACATCCTAGGACTCAGCAAACCCCCAACACTAAGAAGCTTCGGCAATGGTCAGTCTTTTCTTCCTCTTTCTCGACTCAATCCCGGTTTTAATGTCTGGTCATTGTTCTTGTGAGGAAATTTTATTTAACATTAACAATATTGTTGCAGGTATATGTCAATGCTTGATAAAGCAACAGTGCAGAAGGTAGTGACGAATGCTACAAACCTGTATGATCGGTTCTTTGGTTCGACGGAGGAATCTACCTGCAATATTACAGCGGCGCAGTTGCCGTACTTCGAAGGATCTTTCTGGTCCTATAATGCTGAGCTTCTGATTCAGGAAATTGAAACAGAAGGCAATAATGAGTTGCAAAAGAAGGTGAAAACGCTTTCTAGAAGAAAATTAAAGGGTCTTGTGAGCAACAAAAGTAAGGATGGTGTTGATGTTGATGATGCTAAAAACATTCTCCTGATGCAAAAGGTTATCATTTACGTTTTGAATGTGCTTAGTATCTAAATATGGATCCTTAACTTTCGGGGTGTTTAATCTTTAACTATTCTGTTTTGTGCAGCTTGAAAAAATGATATCCCTAAACAAGGAGGATTTCATGGTGGTGGAATTGAATTATTCATGCACGCGATGTTCGAAGGCCATCTTATCGGGATTGAGATGGTTTTGCGTGAAGTGCAAGAACATTCATTTGTGTGAAACGTAATATCTCTCTCTTTCTCTCTCCGCAAATTCATTTCACTTTCTCGGTTTTGCTTATGTTAACAAAACTCTTTCTATTGCAAACAGATGCGCTGATGCAGAACAACAGTTTCCTGGGGAAGACAAACATCATATGAGTGGCAAAGAGAAGCATTGGCTCTCAAAGGTTATTAGCCTTCTTAATTAAAATGATTTTCTTGTTTATGAATTAAAAAATGTGCGTTTTATTAAATTGGGTTCTGTTTTACTTCCACAGGCTCAGGTGAACGGCATACAGTCTACTACAGAGGATAATGATATCGTCCTAGAAAACAATGTGTTTGAAAGCAGACAAGTGTTTTTAGGTTTTTCTCAGAAGCATAATTACAACTTCGACACACTTCGGCGAGCCAAGCATTCTTCGATGATGATACTTCATCATCTTGACACCTCAAACAAGCTCAATTGCTCTCAAAACTCCAGTCGTCTCCTTCAAGTGACCTGCACGGCCTGCAACAAGGATGTTTCAACAACGATTTACTTCGCCTGTTTGATTTGTTCGAATTACCGAGTTTGCACTGGATGCTATGCCAAAAACAAAATCCTTCGTGTGCTTCATCTCTTCCCCATAATCCCTTCAGCTCACGGAACGCCGCCTAGAACCGTAGGGGTGAGTATATGTTCAAAAACAGAGCATTGTGCTGTTTCTTGAAAAAGAATACAGTGGTTAC